CTATGGCACTATCTTTCTAGAGCTACATTTGTTCTCCTCACTAAGGAACGACGTCAAAAGATCGATGTCGGATAAAAAACTTATTTCCTTTAGTTTGGGGGTGGGGGTTTTGACCTCAAAAAGTTTCCATCCTACAAAAACGATTTTATTTTTTAATGAAGTCAAAAACATCTTGGAGTATTTGTAGTTCGTTTTTTTCCATCCAATCATGGACAGAAATAACCGAAAAGGAAAAAAAAACATCCAAGACGAGAAAATGGTTTGGTTCGAGTGTAAATCTGTGCATCAAATGAGGTGCATTTGTAAACTCTCTTTACACCCACCCGACAACCAACTGCTATGCAATACTACTGTCAGATTATCAATTTGTATTTAATGGTGAATGTAGTCTGACGCCATGACCAATATTTATCAATTAAGTTTCAGTGCGGGGTAGGGGGGTTTGGAAAAAAACTAAAGGAATTAAGTTTTTTATCCGACATTGATCTTTTGACGTCGTCCCTAATACTACCACATATTCCATAGGGTGTGGTGACCTGGGGCAGCACATATCCTCGGGCGGACATCCGGGTATTTTCTACCGCCTGGCAACCCTCGCGGTGAAAACAAAGACCAAAAATTCGCAGAAAACGATGGTTGATGAGAGTCCCCTGAACAGTGTAACAAGATTAGCTCTACGTGTGTAACATATATGAATTTGATTGTTCAGGATTACTTCAAAGTTGAGTTTGTGTTGTTTTCTCGAGTTTTCACCGGCTCCACCGGCGTTCCACAGCAGCGCGCACGTAGAAATACGTGGTACAGTGGTGCGCGTCTTAGCAACGTAGAACGTCACTTCTCTCTGCATTCTTGACATTTTTTTTATTTTATAGTGAGTCATCGCGTTCATAGTTCATATCGGTGTGCATCGTCTGGAGAACAGTTGACATGGTAACAATGGAGAATGGAACACTATTTTAGGTCAAAAAATAAATATACAAATGTATACTTTTTTAGGTATACTTGTTCGTCTGTTATGGCAAGGTCACACATTATAATTATTCCCACATAATCGTGGTTCACAGCCACAAGCAGGTTGTCTTCAATTTGAACTAGTGCCGAGTCGACACATCTGACACGTCTTGCTAGATTCAAACAATCGGGTAACTCCAAAACAAAGATGACTCTTCCGAACCACCGAGGGCGCTGTTATCAACGATTTGAAATTCTTGTGGCCTTAAGTAGACTG